TCATAATATTTTATTACTGTAGTAATATCATTTGTATATTATAATACCGGCGGCGTCGAAACACGTGTTACGCCGTCCGTTCTGATTAACGCGCGCGTTATTGCCGAGGCATTTTATATAATAATCAAACTCGGCGGCGTGCGTGTGTGTGTGCGTGTGTGCGCGCCACGAAACGCGATGATGATGGTGTGGCGGCGGCGGCGATGATGATGTGTGAACGGACGGATATCTGAGAAGAAGAAACCGAATTCGCGGAAGCGATACGCATTATTATTATTATTATTATTAATAATATAATGTAACGTAATTATTATCATCGTTGGTGCCAAATATGCGTTTACAGATAAGAATTAACATCGATTTACACGCGCGCACGCAAACCCGATCTCGCGTAATATCGGGTGTTTGACAACTCTACAGCCGCGAGCCGTCGAGGTACCTACGCTCGTTCCTCGGCGCCGCATCCGTACGACGACGACGACGACGACGGCGGCGCGTTTCTAACAATATAATCGTGTAATACCGTCGTAACAGTCGTGTAATTACGATCATCATTTATATTTTACACTCGTTAATTTTCACGAGCTCGTTCGGTCGTGTTAATTTATACCTCCATTATGTGTCGTAGATAAAGCCGTTTTCGTGGAAAAGGAATTTTCTTTTCGCCGTCCGTACTACTCTACGTCGCGCGCGCTTGTACGGCTCGTGCACGGTGGCATACCGTGCACCGAACAAAGCTTTGCATGAAATCAACATTAATTTCGTGTTCTATCATTATTACGACAGTCAGGAATTCGCTTTCAGAAAAATCCGGCACCTCGTAAGATTTGCATTACAAATGTAACGCATTACGACAAATTCGGAGAAAAATAAACGGACGAAAGACACGGTTTTTGATTGTCGGTCCGTCCGATTGTGTGTTTTTGCGCGTGTTCGAACACAGTTTTTTTAGACCGGTCACGGACGAATTCCATCTGGTTTAATATATTGTATTACACGAGACACCCGAACCCGTCCCAGTTGTTACCACATTAAATCGCAATCGATTGCGTGCAACAATACGTCGTTGTGAATAACGGCCGAAATGACAGCGCCCTTAGCTCTTACAATCTCGACGTTATCGATCCTCTTGACAATGGTGTTTAAAACGAAATTCCCGTTGTAGGTCATGTATACACTACATTATTATACCATGATACAGGGTGTCCCGCCGAAGAGTTCTCGTCCCCGGAAATAGCTTACTTCCTTCAACTCGTTCTCTTGTTTTCATACCTCCTCAAAATGACCTGCCTCTTCGACAAATTTAAAAACATATTTTTATTTTATAGAATTTAAAAGTTTAAATTATTTATTTCCATTGAGTTAAGGAAGTTTTCGAATAGTAAATAACTTTATGCCTGATGCCCAGAGGGGGAGGGATTATAGGATTTACTTTTTCAAGGGGCAATGTCGGAGTACAAAGCTAATTAGTAATTACTATATTTATGGCAAAAATTAAAACGTTTCATAAAGGCCGTTTTTAGACGTTGAAAAGAGAAATATATCATAAAAGCGGGGGCGTCATTTCAGGTTATTTTTTAGGTGTGTGAAGTTTCAAGAAGACCATTTTTAAATTAAATCAAGCCAAATAAAAATAGATATATGTAAATATATGTACGCATTATCCTGCTTTTAATTATTTCCATACATTTCATGGATCGCATCAATATAAACAGGCAGTAAAAATCAATATTAAAACTAAAATATAATAAATAATTAGCAATCACAATAATTGACTGTATATATAGCAATAATAATAAATGTCAATGAGAAAATTAAAATACAATTTAAGAAGATTTAATTTTGAGCATTATCTCAATAGGGCGCAAGCCAATTAGTATATTATTTTAAAAGTAAAAGGTGCAACTTCACACCCGATCCCTCCCCCCTGAAATGATGCCCTTGCATAAGTTTTTATGATATGGATTAAAGTAAAATAATAAATTATATTACTTTAAAACGCCAAATGATTTAGTTTGAATGGGCCTGACTGCTTTTGATATTAACAACTCTTATTTAGAAAGTAAGTTTGTAATTATTATAAAAATATAAAATTTTTATTTTTGAAATAAGCAATTTATTAAAAATTAAAATGCATACTAGTGCTATTGTTTATACTAAATTACTAAGAGTAGGTAAACATATACATGTGTAATAACGAGAAAATATAACATAGAATAAATAAATATAAAACTAATTGGACAAACACGAGAGATACAAGTCTCTTATGTAAGTCCGGTGTTAGAAATATATTTAGAGTTGCGAATAAAAGTATTATGTCCGGACTGACACAAGGGACACAAACTTTGGACGTAAGTCCGGTGTTAATAATTATTGAATATACTTGTTCTCGTATTATTACCTTCCTCCTGTTCTTCGGAGGGTTCTCAAGGTCTTGTATTCGAGAATGTAAAATTAAGCACACCGTTACGTAAATTAGATAGTAACATGCACCTTACCTGATTCGCCGCAGTGAATGCTTATTGTAAGTTCCTTGGAGAGAGATATAAGGTGACACAAATTACGAAACGACTTAAGAAAAACTTAAATTTAAATAAGAAAAATAACTCTGATTTAACTTATAAAAAAGAAGTTCAGCCGTCATTCGCAGAATCTTGTGTGTATGCTGTGTGGTGGTTTTGGGTAGAGCTCCTGCTCACTTGTCTGGTGCGCCTGCATTGATGGCTTAGTTGGTGCTTAAGCACTGATCAGAGAAGGCGACCTGGTTAAGCCAGCCAGAGTCGCAAGCGGCACCATCAAAGGTCTCCGTGTTTTCTAAAATAGGATTTCTTCTAGGCGACAGAGACCCTTATTGGACCATCCATTGTCTCTGGCGGCACACGAAACTGGGTCACACGCTTTGCAGCACATTGCCACAAATCATGTGTCAATCCCTTTGTGACCATATAAGTCGTTTTTTTCATCAGTGATAAAAGGATGTTTATGGGGTTTTAATATGCGTGCGACAACTTGACCGTTAATTTATTTGTTTTGAATTTTATGATTATGTAATATACAATGATGTGTGAGCATATCATTACACATGAAATGGGTTCATTAAAGTCATTCATAACTTGCAGATTAATTATAATTTTTCTTTTATCTAAATGCATTTATTTACTAAAAACTTTTAAGTTTAAATTAATTTCTTGTATTGTCGTTATAAGAATGGCTATACTCGTATTTATCGTCTCTCGTTGAAAATTTTAATTTTAATTCATACCGACATTACCTCTAATGAAAATAAATAATTAAACTTTAAAAATGAAAAATAAATTATAATTAAATAATTTATTCAAAAATGTTGTTATTGGAGGTGATTAGCTTCACAAAGACAGTAGGGCATACCACATGCTGTACAGAATACGAATATTTTATTAGTTATTACATTAATTAAAAATCAAGATAACATTCCAATTTAGACTCCTTAATTCCGCTAATTCTTTTGCACTGCGTGTAATGTTTACCAGGTAATTATTGTAATCATTTGAGTGACAACTATAATTTTTCAGTTTCTTTGAAAACTTGTTATTTTTATGGCGATGTTGCATACAAACCGGATACCAGTATAATAATACCTGAAAATTGTATCAAAGAAGTCTATACTTGAATTTTAAAGTACATTAACCTGATTAGTTTATCACGTGATACCATTTCACCCATATAGCTAGACAGTTTTTTTTTTTTTTTTAATACAGTGTATTTTAATGTATAACTGTTAATTTAGTTAAACCTTAAAATTAATTTCATATATTATAAATAACATAATATTTTGACGTCTTTATGCTTCATGTATCATGTACCTATTTTAGACTGTGTATATAGTTTATATTTATTGCAATAAATCAATTACAATAAAGAAAAGCAAACAGGGAATAGATTGAATAGACTTAAAAAATGTATACATACGAATTAATTTATATACATAGTATACCTACGCGCTATTATTTTTATTTGTATGTACAGTGAATATTATACGTATGTTTTTTTTTAATTAGAATACATTTATTTTTTTTGCTTGCACTATTTACATTAAAAACATATTTAACTATATAACCTTGTGATATGTTATGCAATATAGTATATTATATATTATTATATGCATATGGTTTATTTTTAATTGGATTTTACGAATACGAGTATAATTGGGATTGTCATACCATATTAAAAACTAATTTTTGTTCAAAGTTTTGACTGTATCATATTTTTGTGTATTTTTGAAACATAAATGCTATTACAAATTAAAATTACCTAATAGTTATGATATTAGAAACAACAAGACGATATAATAATAATTTACTTTAAAAAAGATAACATAATTTAAGTATGCGTTTAAAAAATATTCACATCAAGAAAATAATGCGTGCAAAATAAATAGAAAAAAAAAAATTAAAAATTATCATTTGATTGCGTATTTCATTTTTTTTATCTTACGTAATTTAGTCGTGTACTATATCTGTAACTAAATAAATAGTAACTCACCTACTTATAACATTTCGATATACCATTAACACATTTATGTTGTACGACAAGTGACTTATCGTATGTAATGGTTAAAATCCAAAATCTATTGGAACACATCGTTTAATATTGTTTATTATACGCATGACACGTTTTACAAAAAGAAAAAATTCACGACGACGGAAAAAATAAAAATAATATAAATACATACATTCATACATATATAATATAATTATTTATGTTTGTAAAAATAGTAGGTATGTGTATAATGTATATATTATTGGTATATCGTCTATAAATTTTTTTACCTAAATATACATCATATCTTTTTTATAGTTTCTATGATTTATCATAATATTAAATAAATATAAATACGTAAATATAATTTGTACAAGAACTCGAACTAATAATTGAACACTATCTCATAGACTTAAGAAATAAATAATTAAGAACGAAGGTAAAAATAATATTAATAATAATAATAATAATAATAATAATAGTAGTAGTAGTAGTGAAAATATAACGCAGACGATGTAAAAAATAATAATTATACAATATTATAATAATATAATCACAGGCTATACGGATATTGAAGTAAATATTCGATCAGTTCGTTTGGTAGTGATGTAGGGGTGATGGTGATGAGTTTCTTGTGCCGGTTGATGACCAGACGGGCCATGTGCTTCAGCGACGGAAACCCGGCGGCGGTGGACTTGACCATCGGCCGGCGGAGGTTCATCCACGAGTAGAACTTGCCGCGGAGGTCGGTCCACACGGGGCACACGTCCACCTGGCGGACAGATTCGATCCGGGACAGCCGGACGTAGTAGTCGATCAGCTCGATCGGACACCGGAACTTTGGTACGCTGAGCGCGTCCGCTCGCCGGGGCATCGAGTCCAGCCCGAACACGCCGTCCGCGTACGTGAGCCGGACGCTCATGAGCCGCGAATCGCCGGCGCGGCCGGTCTGCACGTCCATCGTGAACAGGTGTTCCGAGTGTCTGGAATCGCGAACGCAGAACCGGCCGGCGGGCATGCCGGCGAGCGCGTTCGCGGCCCAGGCCTGCGCCTCGGCGCCCTCGTAGTACCAGCCGGACGCCCGGAGCCGGTCCACGGCCGTGGACAGCACGCGGAGGTCGCGGGCGTCCACGGCGTCCGACCCGATGGGCGGCGCAACCACCGCGGCGTCGTGGTCGATGTGCCGACCGGCTGGGTGCACCGTGGCCGACCTGACGGCCGAGGGCAACGTGGTCGCAGCACCGGCCGCCGTGACGGTCGCGCTACTGCACCGGGAACCCGACGGTTCCGCCTGCTGCTGCTGCTGCTTGATACGCCTGCACGACACCAGCCGGCCGCCGGCCAGCGCTAGCTTGGACCGTTCCCGAGACAGCGCGTGATTGATGTGCATCTGGTACAGGACCACGTTGCGCTGTTCGCACGCCCACCTGTCCCACAACCGGATCCAGCACGCCTGCAACCGCATCGACTTGTCCGCGTCCTGGACCAGGGCCGCGGGCGGTGCGACCGAAACGCCGCCATTGTTCCCGTTGTCCGGCCGGCCCGTTTTCCAGCACGGAATGTCTAACATCTTCTACCCATGGCCCGTACACCGGAACTGCGACCGACGTCAACGACGACTCGTGCGCGGAATGAGTGCCGCCCGTACGGTCGCGGCCACTGAAATCATATTGAATGACAAACGACAATTAATAACAATAATACGGGTACGATGAAAATAATAATAATATATAATATTAAACGTAAATGTCGAGTTATATGACACACGACGTGTTATCGCGCAGAACGATATTCCTCGGAATTGACAATAATATTTTATTATATTGTATTACGCGATTTTCGGTTCCGGTCGACCGTGATGTGCGGAGCTTGTTAGTTCTGCGCCATAGACATTTGCACAGGACGATATAGCGCTAAGATCGTCGTCCGTTGACCGTTATTATTCGTTCACGTGAAACTCGGTTTACAATAATGGTAATGGCAATAATAACAACAACAACAACCGCGAGCGCCGGGCAAAGGCGGAGAAACAAAGAGACACGAATAATATCCGTGTTTTGTTACTAGTTTGTGCCGGGAACAAAGCCCTTAAAATTCGGAAGCCTTATCACGTGCGGTCTACGGGCCGGTATTGATTTCAACACGAGACCGCAAAAGTCGCTCGACACGCTCGGGTAATTATTATGCGCACGGCGGCATAGTAAAACATTGACCAACATTCGTACCGTAATACCTATAATAATATTCCCATTGTATTCGTATTTCCATTTCCTGAACGTGTTTTACATTATAAAATATGACATGTCGTACCTGTAACACGACTACGATATTAATATTATACGTTATTATGCGGATAGCGTTTTTCAGTGGCGAAAGTGCGTGGATAACGTACGTTATTGTTGTTACGACTTATAAATAATCATGTTGTGACCGTAGGCCACTACCGCGTTACGTAGACGCGTGTTTTGATTTTTTTATTGATAAATAAAAGTCACCTGAAATACACCCATTCTCGTGTACGTTGTTGTTATAAAATATCAACACATCACATATTATTACAGTAGAACCTCGATTATCTGAACTAATTGGGACCGCACCTAGTTCGAATACGCAAAAGTTCGGGTGTTGGAAATTTAAAAAAAAAACCAATTAATACATTTTTAAAGCAAAGTTAAATATTTTATATCATATATTTATTGTTATTATTATTTAAATTTTATTACATAAATTACATTATTAGAAATACATTACATACATGGGAACATATTATGTTAATTATAATTTTTGACAAACAAAATTATCGATACGAGTGCTTCAACGAGTTCTAAAATTCGGATAACAGAATATTCGAATAATAGAGGGTTCGTATAACGGAGGTTTGGATAATCGAGATTCTACTGTATTCTAAGTATTCTATTTGGATTTTTTAGTTAGTATCGGTTTTGACGGACAACGGCGGAATAATGTGTTTTCGAACATTTCGTACAGATTTCCGGCCATACGGGGGTTTAATGGGATTACGGCCGACGTGGAATATAATTTTTCATTTGTAAGTGAAAAAGAACAAAAACAAATATTTGCATACATTCTAGCACGATAATCATACATTTTAATAATACATCTAAACATATGATACAAAGTGATTCCATCACACATGCTCGCATTATTTATTTTTTTCAAAATCTGATTTTTGGTGTCATTAAATTTACTTTGGAACCGTGTTTTCAGTCTTGAGATTTCTTCGTACGACGTATTAATAATACGTAGTAAAGATTTACAAACTTCTGTTTTTCAAATGAGAACCCTTTTACAACTGAAAAATTATTTAGTAGATATTTTTTCTGAGCAATGTTAGGTACTGGTATCAAAATAAAAATTCAACTTGACTAGTTTTTGAATTATTAGGTTTTGTATACTAAGGATAATAATACGTACATGACAATAGAGTTGAAAGATGAGACTTAGAGTAATTTGCAGTTTTTAGTAATTAATAATTCTAATCTATCAACGTTTATAATTTATAAAATTGATCAAGTAAAATAACACCAAATCCAATATCTCATCTGATTAATATTTTTCTAATACCTTTTATATTATATTATTATCCATAGACTTTTATTTTTTGTATAAATAATTTAGTAACTGTAAAATTACTCATTCGAATCTTGAGTGAGGTAATCAAATTTTTTTAAAAATACTGTCCACTAAATAATTCATAATGAAAAGGGTTCTGAATTTTCGTTTGAAAATAGAAGTTTGTATCGCCACAGGACATTTTTCAAGTAGTACAAAAATCTTAAGAATTCATAATAATATAATCATTAGTATACTTAAATATTAATAAAATCAGGATTTTAATTAATTCGTTATTATAGGAAAAAGGGGGTGAACATAACTCAGTGAATCACTCTGTATATACCAGTTACTTACTCTACACAATATACGCATCGTATTATGTATAATTTAATGGAATACGTATACATACGCTTCTTCCACTTTCGCATTATGCGTTATATAAATTGAATATAGGCACATCACATTATATTCACATGGACGTAGAGACTTTCGCGTCTCCTCTCAACGATATACGAGAGAATACCGAGAATACGGAGAAAATCTGATAGACGTCAGATGTGTAATATATATATAGTAGTACATCACGCGATTGGATTTAAGGCGAGGATGTGCATGCGTATACGGAACACAGTTTGATAAAAAATCGTTTTCAGAACATTTCATCTGATATTTTTTATGCACACCTATCTATACTGTCGTACATACGTATAACGCTGCACTACATAATATTATCTTTGAGTATATTGTAAATAGTGTGAATACTGAATAGTGATACACGACCATCCAAACATTATGCCAATATAATGATTTGTTATTATTAATCAGTTCCTCGGAACTGTCAATGGACTATGCGCTGTGTCATGAATCATGCAATAAATGTAAATAATAAATATGTTAAACAATTATAATTACATTTTATTGTAACTTTGACACCTCTATACCAAAATAATTTACGTTTTATCAACATAATATAACTATGTTTTTCAATAAAACGTTATTAAATTTAGATATAAATGAACATTTTGCCATTTGTTACAAAATTGTATGAAATGAAAATAATTTATATTCTGATTTGTGGGTAGTGGTGGACGCCCAACGCGTGACGCATGTACTACACAATACAACGTTGTCTAATTTGGTCAAAAATAAATAAAACGTTGCCAAATGCAACTAAATTTTATGAAACTAAAATAATTAATTTTATAATTTGAGGCTAACACCAACTATCCAGTTGTATTAATAAATTGTGTGGCAGATATTAAGAATTTAATTAAGAAAAGCGTGGCTCAGGGAAGTTTGAAGGAGCCATGGCTTCTCAAGCTTGAAGATTTTCCTAAAGTAAAAAAGAAGAAATTTATTTTATTTTTGTAAAATTTTGATAAATGCCTATCCTATAAAAAATAAAATAAAAAATATACTTAGGTTTCTTGGAACTACGTTTGATATCTATTACCAATTACATTGGATAGCGAAAATTCAAACACTTTGATTTGGAGTCCGATCGCAAAAAAAAAATAAAATAATTACTGTAAATACTTAAATTGTTCACCTAATATTTATATTATTACGAGATAATTTTTAAAATAGTTTAGATTTTATATAGCTATATGTAGACATTTAAAATTTTTAATTTCTTTAGTTTTTTTCTTTTATAAAAAATATGTTAAAAAGTAAAATAACAAGAACATCAATTTTAATTACATAATTAAAAATATTATATATATATATATTTTTTTTAATTTAATTTTAGTTTATTTCGATTTATGTTGATACAATTTTTGTCTATTAGTCAAAAAACTTAATCGTTATATTTCTAAGGTCCTACATAGATTTTCTTAAAATTTTTGACGACATAAAGTATTCGTCAGATGAAATATAACGATTTTTTTTCTTAGACTATTATATATAAGCACTTAAAATTTTCTGATTTATTTAGTTTTTTTCCGATTTATGCTTGATAACATTTTTAATTTTAAATATTAAAGGGAAGAATTTAATATACAAAGTTTCTTGTAAATTAAAGATTATCAAAAATTGAAAAATATATAGTCATAATGGTATTATAATATAATATAATATACGTACAATTACGCAAGTACTATATATGTTTATTGTTTAAGTATAAAACAGTGATGGGCAACAGGAGATTAATATGCTGCAAAACCGAGCAGATATTTATATAAATACGTATATAAGGTATAAATATTAAAATATTTAATATGTGCCGAGGTGAATGAATTATTATTAGTATCATCTACACGAGACACCTAGATGCGCGTAATTCATCGAGAAATCCGTTATCGTGTTTTGGCATACAGTAATAACGTATACCTACTACTGTTGGCGTTTGTATCACAAGCAAATTCGTAAAATAATAAATGATACATACTATAAAACACACACTATAATTAATTTTAAGCACATCTAATATGTTAAAATATACATTGATATACATTATATACACACTCCGAACATGGTGTACATATTATTAAGCCCGGTCCCCTATCAGTGTAAGACATTCATTACTTGTTTTTTTAAACTATTAAAATTTAAATATGAAAATGTTTTTTTCATTATTTTAAGTTGTTAATAAAATATATATTTGTACTAATTTTAATTACTACCATTTCTTAATTTTTAATTTTTTGAAAGATCGCATATTATACAATTTAATTTCTATTTCCAAATTACATACATAAAAATTAAATTTTGGACAAGTGGTTTACCATTACTCATTTTAAGATAAGCGTAGTAGAGATATAAGGAAATCCTGAAAATTGTATGACCACTATTCTTATGGTTAATGGCTTAATCTAAGCTTTAAATAATTATAAGATATAACTTATATAAACTAAATACATATCCGAAGTTCGAATTTTATATACCGAATTACTTTAAATAATATTCTACTTCGGGATATGAAATTATAAATGTATTTTTACATTCAAAGGTGTTAAAATGTAAAATAATAACGATAAAAAATAGTTTAATAAATAAAAATAATTTTTTTCCAAAAATTTTGTCTTGTACTGACTTGAAATTATCTAAAAGAAATTTTTTCAAATAAGTTTTCAATTACGTAT